GGTGGGGGTGGGCCGGGCCGCCGCGGGGCTACTCTGCGCAGGAGATGCCCCGCAGCAGGGCTATGAATCACCGGGTAGAGAAAGACTCGTTCCTTTCAGTAAGAGTGAAAGCAAGAAGGAAAAAAAAGGCAATTTAAATAACAGCAATTTAAATGAATTAGTATGTGGGCAAATGTCTAATGCTAACATCGCAAGTTCTCAATAAATATTAAAATGAGATATATTATTGGAACTTGATCATTGATTTTTGATATTATTGTAGGAGTTATTGTAATTTTAAGGCGATATGATGTTATTGTCATGTTTAGAAGAAAAAAAGAAGTGTCCTCTTAGAGATAAATACTGAAAGATTTAGTGATGATGAAGTGATACAATGTTTGCATTTACTCCAAAATAATGAGGGAAGGGGTTTGGATTATTGAGTGGAGTTATGGTAGGTGAATCAAGATTGGGTACATGGAGGGGCGGGGTCATTACATTACTCTCTATTTTAGGTACGTTTGAAATTTTCCGTAATAAAAGCATTTGAAAATAATATATCTAGTGGCGGTATTAGTATGACAACACCTGCTTTGAAAATTCACCTTGTATTCACCTGCGTGGGGTTGCTATGTAGAAAGCTGACTAAAAATCAGAGGTTATGAAAGTGCTTCGGTTTCCCCATCTATAAAATGAGATGGTAACAGCATCTCATAGCATAAAGGACTTAACATGTTAATATACAGGATTTCATGTGTGAGGATTTAATATGTTAATACATGAGTTTTGTTTAGAACAGTGTCTGGCACCTATAAGTGTTAGATGTTATTAAGATTAGTATTAGTTTGTGTTATGCTTCTCCTGACCTTAATCCACCTTGTACACAGCTGCCAGGATAATATTTCATCGTGGACCTCTTATATTTGCCCAGGGCCTTCCAGGTCAAATTGAACACTTTAGCTTTACATAACCTCATGATAATTGTGCCCAATTGCCTCCCAGCTCAGTTATGCGCACAGTTTGTACTGTCAACTTGTGTTTGTGAATTCTCCCGTTTTGTGTATGTTTGGTCAATCTTTCAAGTGAATTGTAGTGTCCTTTCCTTGATATTTTCATTCTTAAAGAAACTGGTTGAGGGCGCCTGGGTGGCTCAGTTGGTTAAACGACTGCCTTCGGGTCAGGTCATGATCCTGGAGTCCCGGGATCGAGTCCCGCATCGGGCTCCCTGCTCAGCACGGAGTCTGCTTCTCCCTCTGATCCTCTTCCCTCTCGTGCTCTCTGTCTCTCATTCTCTCTCTCTCAAATAAATAAATAAAATCTTAAAAAAAAAAAAGAGAGAAACTGGTTGAGTTCCTAATATAGAGGAGTCATTTAACAATGTGTCTATGACTCCCAATCCCATTTAAAAAGAACTACATTAGAACTTCCTCAATTAGTGAAAATATAGTCAATTTATAGTGATCGCCAGAGTTAATACAAGAGCTACCACCTCACAAACTCATTACAATGCTTAATTATTTGATTGTTTCCTTCTGATAGCTACTTCAAAGAAATTGAAAATAACAAGTTACCTTCTGCTAGGTGACAACTCTCCACATTCTTTAAATTTAGCATTTGGTAAAGTGCTAAAGCATTGATCTCTCTAAGCTGCAGTTCTTGTTTCCTCAAAAGTCTGATTTATTTTTCTGGCCTCTAATTATCCTGCTATTTCTTTGGCAGGTTTTAGGGGTTTTGTGCCCCTTTTTTGGACCTGATGGATACTCCATTAAAGATGGAATCAATTTTCACAGTGATGGGAGAGTTGCCTCAGAGAGGGGAGAATTGTTTTGTAGGAATTCCAGTTTTACTGTATTTAATGGTGTAATTTATTGGAGAAGTCATTTTTGAGGAGGTAATTTAATTTTATGGGACACAAAATTTTTTGCCCAGTAAGGAGCGGTGTTGAAAGCCCATTAGCCTGAAGGTTACTTTTAATTTGCACAAGTTGAAGCTGATTTTAGCCTCCCACTTCTTTTGTAGGGAGGTGCCAACAAGGAAGACAAATCTCAGTAGGTGATGTGCTTTCTTACATGGAAAGGTCAGTTAAGTCTTCCTTCTCAGGTCTCTTTTGAAGATAAAGGCTTCTAACCAAAGGCTGTAAAATTCCATTTTTTATCTTGTTGTAGCATGGAAGAGAAAACGAAACATATGGGTCTTGTAGTTTACAATTATTGTTTGAAAAGACCTTTGACTTTTACCACATCACAGTGAAATATGGGATAGCTCAATACTGCTATTTTGATCCATTGGATTGGCCCTGTTCTCATGAAAATATTCCCATCCATATACCTGTAAACCTGTGCTTTTTACAAGAGAGGCATTTTCACAATTTTGCCAGTTCAAGTATTGGGTGTTTAAAATAAACCATACTTTTACATACCTGAGAAACATTGAGGAAAGGACTAGACAATGCTATGATGGATGTTGATGGTCTAGTGTGGCAATATATGGCAATAAGCTCTGACAGCGAGATGTTAGTTGACTTCTTAGGTAGGGAAACATTTCATGGTGCCCATGTTACTGGCTTCTTTTAAGTATGAATGAAGTTCTTTAACAACAAATGAAATAATGTCACTAATGTGATTAATGACATACTAGTAGTTCAAACAACGTGATTCCTGAGGTCTTCAATCTTTTAACACTCGTGATGATCTTAAGTGGATCAAGCTGGAAAATTCCAATTTGGCCTTTAAGTGGTTCTGAGACACCACAACATTCTGTAGATGGAATTCAGATAACATGTTATATCTTAGCCTTGAAATATGTTAAAATTGTTAGATGTAGAAAGAAAAAATATAAAAAGCATTTAATTTGTGAGTAATTGCCTTCATTCTCTGTTACATATTCAATTTTAGCCAAGAAAATATTCCAGTAGCTAATCAATTTTGAAATCTATTCAGTTTTCTTTGCCTTTACCTAATCTTCAAATCTGGCCTTCTTATTTCAACCAAGTGCCTTAATCTGTTCAAGTCATATGTGAGAACATTTTAAAGCCTAATAAAACATATTTAGGAGATGGCATAGTAAACCTATTGTACTAGTTTTAAGTAGTTCTAAGACTAACTATGGGGCTGATAATGATTTTCAATAAACAGTTGATACAGTTTTGACATTGTTCATTACCTGCAACTTGTCTTCAAAACTCTATACTCTCCATTGTGGGTTTATCTGTTATTCTCTCTTTCTCCAGTTACAGTAGATCCTTATGCTCTTCAAATGAAAACTCCAAGTCTCTTTCCCTAATCAGAAAATACTCTTTTCCTAATCCAGAGACTGCTTTAAGATAGTTTTGTAACTTGTTCTTTTTCTTCCTGATCAATTTATTGAAAAAGTGGGATCTTACTCACCTCTCTTTAAACCACTCCATGCCCTTACTTCCTTTGCTCTCCTCAAGCTGTCCCACCTCAAGAGCTGCCACTAGGCTCTATCTTCCTTGGTATGTGGACATTCTCTATTTGCCCTCCATATCCATTCTTTTCCTTCTCCACTCAGCCTTGTGACCTGGAAGGTTGACCATTATGGACTCCAACAGCTGGATTTACTACATTCCTTGCCCTCTGAACTGTGGTTCATTTTGGCCAATGGAAAAACCAGCAGGGGGCTGGAGGGAGGAAGAGTGAGGTGAGGGTCATTTATTCTCCCTTCTTTCCTCCCTGCAGGATAGTAGGCTGGAAGTATTAGGTTCCTACACCAAAGGCTTTCAAGGCCACAGCCCATCCCTTAGCTTCTCCAGAGCTATAGCTCTCTCTGGGTTTTGGTAACCTTCTCCCCTTTCCCCTTCAGGCCTAGAAGCAATAATGTCTCCCTCCTGTTCCTAGCCCCAGGATGGTTCCCCATCCCTTGCTGGTTTCCCTTATGTCTGCCCATATGTTTATAAATAGCTCCTTTACTAAATTTTCCTCAGTTCCCACCTTTTGCCATCTATTTCCTGCTGGTATCTGGGCTGATATCAGCAAAAATTAACTCCAGAACATTTAACACAAAAGACTAAGCCTGGCTTGCTCAACACCACTGTTGTCCACCATTTAGTTGTTTTGCAATGAGCAGTATCATCTACAAGACATCTTAAACAATTATTTAGGTAGGACTGCATCCCACCCTCGCCCATTCTCTACCCGGAGCAGTTGCACCCAAGTTCCACTACCCTCAAGATGGATGGCAAGCCGAGGAGTGTTGTAACTACCCATGGGACCTGTGTCATCCATGTCCCAAGCAGCTATCTGTCTCAGACAGCCCGTATAAACTCCTGGCTCTCCAAATTCTAACCTCTGGATGCCAAGCAGACTATATAGTTCCCCTGTTGACAAAACTTCTTTAAAATTTGTCCTATAAAAACACAAAATAACAGATCACCCGGGCCTTCGCCCAGGTCCTGCTTTCTCCATGAATGGTGGGAAGTGTGGGGGAGGAGCAGTGCCTTCTTCTCTTCATGCTGATCCTGGCCCTGAATGTTTGACCTTTCCCAATAAAACCTCCCATACCATGTGGTATGGAATTCATCTGGAAACCAGGAGGGCCACAACAGGCAGGGGAGTGGCTTGTGAGAATGCATGTGGTTCACAGCTTCACTCCTCCCAGCACATTTAGATTTATAATCTGTATTTGTACACAAGTCCTACTAATTATTTTCATTTACAAATTGTTCTTTATTGTAGCATTTATGCTAATAGTTTCATCATTCCTTTTATGCTTCAGTGAACTACTTTTGAATCATCGATCCGTATTTGTGGACTGGTAATTTAATGCCAAAACACAAGTTAAACCCAGGCAATGGCATAC